GCAGGAAGTGCTCCACTGTGTTCTTAAACTTCATGCACCTTCACTAGAATCATTTGAATAATTTCAGCTCAGGAATTGCCAATCTCTAGGGGTGTGCAAAAATATTGAAATATCAATTTATCGTATCTTTCAATGTGAGGATACAGTATCTATATCGTGGGCTGCTGTATTGATATATCGCCAAAAGTATTTTTTGGTGTATTTTACTAAATTATTTAGGTACTGAATCTGTGTGTCATTCGTTCATTCGTTTTTCATTATAAAATGAAAAAATAACCCTTTTCTTCATTATTTATCTCCAAAACCAAAATGAAAAAAACAGATCATGATTCGCTTTTTCGGTTTTCAATTTTGTGTTTAAATGAAAAATGGAAATGATGGATAACGACCGTTTCCCGTTTACATAACTTCCGTGACTGCGATCCCGGACTGAACCAGGACTGAACCAGGTTCGGGACCAGGTTCGGGACCAGGTTCGGGACCAGGTTCGGAACCAGGTTCGGGACTAAGATCAGAATTGAGATCAGAATTGAGACCGGGACCAGACCAGGACTGGGACCAGGACTGAGACTGGGACAGAAAAAGGTTTAGTCCTGGTTCAGTTCGGTATCGCAGTTTAAGTCACGTTAACGCGAAATGGTCATTATAATTTTTTTACATTTTTCATTTAAACACAAAATTGGAAACTGAAAAAATGAATCATTATCTGTTTTTCTCATTTTGGTTTTGGAGAGAAATAATGAAGAAAATTATTGTTTTTTTTTTTTCGTTTCTTATTTTTGGTTTTATTTTGAAAAACAAATGACACACGGATTTGTACTGAGCTACAGGTTTGTTGTTTTTTTTAGTGGAAGGAAACTCATTTATGCGACACATTTGACATTTTCACTGTTTTGAGGATTAAAATGTTTGTTTTTCATATGAACTTTGAACAAGAAGTAGTTTAACAAAGACTTTTAACATCACAGCCATGATTTAGCCTTTATTTTTTATTGAACCGTGATCTCTCCTGGGCGCATTTTAAACCCTCCTTACAGTTAGTTGTAAGATTTTACTCAGTGCTCTGCCCACGAGCCTATGCCCCCCATGCTCCCACATGACAATTCTCTGTAAATATACAAAAACATGATACAAAACCGCACACAGCAACTTGACAAATCTGATGCGATGGGCGCTGTTTGTGTTATGATAATGCTCTGAAGGGGGAGAGACTTTGAGTGGGGAGAAAAGGCAGACTGTACTCAGAGCATCAAAATTTAAACATATAAATCATGTTATTAATACTTTTTTTTCAGTTAATATAGCATTTTCAAAACATTTTTTTAAGAATTAGTGGCAGGAATTTTCTCATTTTTATACATTTGTAATTCATTGCTCTGTGACATGATGAGGCTATTTTGTAAAAGAGAAAACATTATTGTGGAGGTACTTGATTTGAAAGCCACTGTAGGTCATACGTTGGTTATTGGTGGACTATTACTGGCTGAGCTTGGTGCCTGTTCCTCCGTCTCCACACCGGGCCTCCCTCTTCCTCTTGTTTGCAGCCCCTCCCTTCCTGTAACACATTGATCCTGTGTGCTGGTGACGTCACGCAGAGCAGGGAACTTTCTCTGGGCGGGTTGCGTATGTCCCGGGGGCCGGACCAGCCATTGTGAGGGAGCTGGACATGTGGACATCTGGTGCCGAGCTAGATGTGGATTCTGTGGAGCTGTTTTACTTCCGGGTCCAGGCAGTAACTACGCCGCTGAGTACTAGCTTTGTTTTTGTTCGTTATTCATCAAATAAGACAGTTTCCTTTCAAAAGTGTATTTTTAAGAGCTGTCTACCATGTTATAATGTTGTTCCATCATCATCATGCATGTTTGAGTAATTTAGTGATCTCTCCCAGGCCCTATTTAAACCCTCCTTTGTAATTCTCAAGCTTGCGTCATCAGTGCTCCCACGCGACGATTCTGCAAAAACATACAAAATATAATGAAGAGTAGTTTCATCAGCAGGGCTCGAGCTGATTGTGTTGTGTGACTCTGAAGAGGGAGTGACTTAGCATGGAGAGCAAATGGAAGGGGAGACTTGGGAGCATCAAAAACAAAAGTGAATCTGATAAAACCAATACAGCATTTTCAAATCGATAAAAGGTAACATGGTGATCTAAATTAGCAGTTTATACCCCACTGAAGTAAAATTCCACCTCTTTAACCACAAATTGTATCAAATATGTGAATAATGTATCAATAATGAATCATAACGAAGAATTACCCGCACGTATATCTCACAAATTCTTGCCTAGCCTCATCCTTCCTCGTGAACTTTCTGTCTCTTCTAACCATAGCTCCACGTTTCTAAACTTCTAACGACTAGGGATGTAACAATAACCGAAATATCGTGATATCGTATCATCAAAGTTCTCACAATAATATCGTGGACCATCACAATATATCGAATTACAAGTCTCTTTGCTTAAATGAAGAGTTATGGTGCAGCAATAGCTAAAAAAAAGACGGGGAACTACATAGACCATCATCCTTTGCTCCATTTCAGTGCAGACTACAAGAAGAAATAACAGTTCTAACACTTTTAAGTCTTAGTTCTTTGGGTTAAGTCTTGTCAAGGCAATATCTCAATAAATATCGTACCGTGAGATCAATGTTGGGAAATTGACTTTTAAAATGTATTCCCCTACAGATTACAGATTACATACCCCAAAATGTAGTTTGTAACGGAATTAATTAAATTACTTAAAGTGAGTAATGTAATCTGAATACTTTGGATTGCTTGATTTGCTGTAGAGAAGCAAAGACGAGGAAATCTTCACATAAGATGTCTGATAAAAGAAAATAAAAAAAACAGACTTTACTGAACCAAATTAAAAATATTATTGATAGAAGACGAGGAGACACGTCCGTGCAGCATTATTTAGTCCTGTTAAATCCTGTTTGAGACCTGGTTTTAGTCCTGGTTTGGTCCTGGTTTAGACCTAGTTTAGACCTGGTTTGGACCTGGTTTGGACCTGGTTTGGACCTAGTTTAGACCTGGTTTGGACCTGGTTTAGTCCCGGTTTAGACCTGGTTTTAGTTCTGGTTTAGTCCTGGTTTAGTCCTGGTTTAGACCTGGTTTAGACCTGGTTTAAGACCTGGTTTGGACCTGGTTTAAGACCTGGATTTAGACCTGGATTTAGACCTGGTTTTAGACCTGGTTTAGACCTGGTTTAGACCTGGTTTGGACCTGGTTTAGACCTGGTTTAGACCTGGTTTTAGACCTGGTTTTAGACCTGGTTTTAGACCTGGTTTAGACCTGGTTTTAGACCTGGTTTAGACCTGGTTTTAGACCTGGTTTGGACCTGGTTCAGTGTCCGGCAATAAGTGGAATACCGTGGAGGGGGGAAAAAAAAAAAAAAAAAAAAAGGGGGATATAGCCTGAAATGTGAAAACTGGAAAATTCCATCATGTAATCCATTTATTTCAACAAAGTAACTGTAATCTAATTACCACTCACTGAAACAGTAACTGTAACTGAATACAGTTACTCATAATTTGTACTCTGATTACATAACTCCGGTACATGTAATCTGTTACTCCACAACACTGTGTGAGATGTACATCGTGAAAATATCGTACAGAGAGATTTGGATGGATTGTTGCATCTCTAATCGTGAGACTCCCCACCGTATCGTGAACTTTCCCACAATATCGCAATAAATATCATACTGTGAGGTTCATACCATGATGATATTGTATCGTGAGACTTGGATATCGTTACACCGCTACTGACAACTGCATTCTCTTTTTAATGTGAGATGTGCTGTTGGACCTGGAAGTGACATCACATTTAACAGCTCTATAAGACATGTCAGAGGCCGTGTGGCTCTGCAGCTCCCGGACATGAGTCAGGCTTGTTGATTGGACACGGTCAGCTGAGGAGGTGGCTGTGTAATGGACAATGTCGAGTGATAAAAACAGGAGCATTATGAAGTACAGTACTTTACTGTAAGAAGCTGGTCATGTGACTTCTGTGTTTAGTGGGTTGGGTTTTGCAGTAACCTCTGTAGGCCTCTGTTCTGAGAGCCATAGCACTGGCCGTGTAATACAATTAGATAGCAGCATGTTATCTGAACTGGAGCATTTAAATGATGTTGCGTAATATGATCTGATGGTGGTGAAATCATATCTAAATACACACTATGAGTCGAATGCAAAAGCCTTGGTTCAGGCTCATCTCCCTGGAACAGACTGTGAGCACCGAGGATCAAATAACACTGCTCAGGAAGTGAGGAAGTGATTGTGCAAAAGAGCAGCTCTTCACCATATAACCTCCGTACTAAGACACGGCTGAAGACACGGCTGAAGACACGGCTGAAGACACGGCTGAAGACACGGCTGAAGACACGGCTGAAGACACGGCTGAAGACACGGCTGAAGACACGGCTGAAGACACGACTAAAGACACGATGCCCATTGATTAGTCGACTAAAAAGGGTGTGTGGCAAAGGCTCCCAAAACTATTATCTATTCCTGCAAACCTGCTGAAAAAAGTAGTAGAACACAGAGATTAAACATGTGAATCATTAAATTGGCTGTTGTCCCATATAATTCCTTATAATCTAAATGAAATGAGTAGTCAATTAATACAAATTTTGATTGACCGATTAATTGACTAAAGGACTAAAGGACTAAAAGACTACAGGCCTAGTTGATACTAGTGTCTAACTAGAGGATAGGTGAGCGATATTAGGCTGTGGCCAGATGACTGTACATGAGCTCAGAGTTCAGAGTCAGTCAGGATGTATGTAGTGTGTGCTATAGAGCGAGCACTTCCTTTGTGAACCTCACAAAAGTGTTCCTCTGTCTGAATTCTTCCTCACACAGGCAGAGCAGGCCACATGTGTCATGTTTTCCTCTAGTGTATGTTTGTGTACTGCCCCTAAAGGGCGGGCCCTGCTCTTCCTTATTTGGAGTGAGGAGGGGAGGGGAAGGGAGGGGGCGGTCACATGGGTGCACGGCCGTCTCCAAAGCGATAGGAGCAAAAACTGAAGTACAAAGTAGCCTCTTCCATCAAGACAAAAGTACAGAGACTGGAGCTGAACAAAGCGCGAGAGGAACAGGAGCGGACAAAGCACAGGAGATAAGAGCAGGACTGACTGCCTGCACATGGTGGAAACATGCCCACCAACTTCACTGTGGTCCCGGTGAAGGACGCCAGAGGAGCCCAGCGCAGCCCCACGGAAGACAACGTGCTGAGGGAGGAGGATGAGGAGGCTACAGGTGAGTGGGCTTGTCTTCGCTCTTATCACAGCTGTGGACCCATGTGTGAGCCGTGTGTGCTGCTACTGCCCTCAGGAAACTTCTAGACCCCCCTGACCATCTCATTCAAGCCACTCATTTGGATCTCCTGCCCTCAAACATCTACTTTGTTTAATCCCCAAGGAAGACAAAGAATGTTTTGACCACTTCTTACTTTCTGCGCTCAAAGGACGTGTCCCCAGAGGCCAAGAGGGAAGTTGGCATTCCCCTTATCTCTCCACACATGCCTGAGTAATAAAAGACTAATGAATGGCTTTGAATAACAGGGACACACCACACTGTTTAACTTTTGGAAACGTGTTAAGATGTATTTTTGAGATTTGACCCACACCTCTGCTCTTGTCTTGTTCCATGGCAGTAGCATGGATATTGGCTGCAGTGACATACATGCCTTGTAGAACATTATGTCCTCTTATCTGTCTCTGAGATGCTACTGGACAGTAGGTGACTGTAGCACAGTGATAAGAACCAGGTTAGATGAACTCCAACTGCTTATTTGACTGCGATTTGTTTGAACTTTGTTGTCGAATAACATTAAATGACTAGATAGGGTGAATATCAAGTGTACTTAAATTTAAAGGGCCTATATTACGTTATTTACTCATCTGTGTTACGTTTCCTCATCACAAACAGACCTTATGTGTTGTGTTTTGTTTCATTCACATTCAACACACAAAGCCTGCAGATTTAGGCTGAGTTCTCTCAAATGGAAAAACACTCTGTTCCCCCTTGTGATCTCATGTGGTAATACAGAAAGTGCTCTACTATGTTTTTAAACTACACACACCTTCACTAGAATCATTTGGATGATTTCAGCTCTGGAATTGTCGATCTCTACAGAACTAAAGGTAAAACAAGCTGTTAACCACCACTACATGACATCACAAGGTGGAACAGAGCATTTTGAGCTTTGGAGATGTAGACAGACTAATAATAAAGAGTTACTCAAACATGTGTGAATGAAACAAAACACAACTCCGGGTCTGCTTTTAATGAGGAAACAAAGTATGTCACTTTTTGGTTGGGGGTCCAACCACCTGCTTGTTTCTCAGAATATATCATTGCTCTGCCTGGAATGTTCCACAGTATGACTTTAAATAGCTCTACTAAATATTTACTGAATCACAGGTGCTTTTATTGCTCAAAAATACCTGCAAAAACAGACATTTTGACTGTGAGCTGACCTGTAACTTGGTCTGGTTTGGTCTACATGAAGATAGAAAGGTTTAATGCCATAGTGTGAAACATTTCAGACAAAGCAACAACATCTCCATGCAGAAACTCATTTTACGGACCCTCCACCATAAAAGTTAGGCAATGCACCTTTAATTTAGCATAATATGGAACCTTTAAATTGTTTCCTGCCACATGCACAGACTGAGTGACAGTTAGACGCTCGTATCTGGGGTTATACCGAGGTCACAGAGTTCATTTTTAACAAACTCCTGTCTTTTCTGTACTGCACGCTTCAATTTGATGTGTGGAGCTGCAATTACGGCGCATGCTGAGAGCGAGTTTATAGACTGCAGGAGACTGGCCTGGTTGTTCCATTTCACCAGCAACTACGTCAACGAACACTGAACGCTTTTGGAGACAGATGGAATCGCAGTGTTTTTCTGACAAACATGCGCACATTTTGAAGATTAGAATTATTTTCAGAGTTTAAAGAGTCTAAAGTTGTATTACAGGTGGTTTTATAGCGCAAAAATCCATAGAAAAGCAGGCGTTCTCTGACTGTGAGCGGAGTTTCCTCTCTGCTGACCGGAAACTTTGTCTGGTTTGGTCTATATGAAGATAGAAAAGTTTAATGCCATACTGTGAAACATTCAAGACAAAGCAGTAACATCTCCACGGTCTGTCTCATTATAGATAGTCTTCCATTCTTGTATTTATTTTTTGCAGTTTGTGTTTTTAACCATATTTTACATTTGGAATATTTTTAGATAATTCTATTTAAGTGGTGATCATTTATTGTCTATATTTAATTAAGGTGATTTTTCTTTTAGTTTTTTAAAGAGGGCATCTGAAGTGCAGGGACATTTCAGAACATTTTTTTTTTTTGTCAAAGCTGAATTAGCACTTGTGAAAGATGAGATTGTTTGCGATTTGCAACTATTCAATTTGGATTTGAGAGCTCCTAAAATCACTGAGCTGGACTTTTTTTTTTTTCATTTTGGAAGTCAAAGTCCAGACAGATGGTATAGGCCGGTGGTGGCTGTGATTATGTTTGGAGAGAGCTGATAGCGGGATAAGAGCCCGAGCTGAGTGGGTAAACGGAGTCATGTAGCAGTCACTGGTATTGATTAGGCTCTGGCCTGCTTCCCGTTGGCTGTGTGGGGGGAGGTGAAGGACCCCACCCCCATGTTGTCATCTCATGTACTCCAGCTGCACTCTTCCTCCTCCCCGGCCTTTGTCCTTTTCACATGGAACTTTTGGGTTTGTCTGAAGAGATGTTTTTCACTCACTTTAAAGGGCTTGTGTTACGCTGTTCTCTGATCTGTTCTAATGTTGTTTCCTCATCACAAACAGACCTGGAGTTGTGTTTTGTCTCACTCACACACGTTTAACACACAAACCCTGCACATTTACACTGAATTCACTCTGTTCCACCTTAATGTCTTGTGTTAATACAGGAAGTGCTCCACTGTGTTTTTAAACTCCACACACCTTCACTAGAGTCTGGAGGATTTGGATGATTTCAGGCTCTTGAATTACAGTTCAGTCTCCACTGAACTAAAGGTAAAATGTAGCTGTTAACTTGCAAACTACAGCTTCATGACATGACATGACATGAGGTGGAACAGAGTGTTCGGTCGATATGCATGTGTCCCTTCATGCGCTTTGTGTTGTTATTTATTTTGGTCTGAAAAAGAAACAGCTATTGCAGCGTCCTCCTCAGACACAGCAGAAAACAGCTCCACAGAGACTTGCAGCTGAAATCTTCTAACAGAGATGGATTTTATCTTTCACTCACTTTTTATTTTACACTGATAGACTCAGGAATGACAAAGATATTCAATTTTCAACACTTTAGAATCACTTTTGGCTTTATATTGGCTTCAATCAAATATACACACATGCAACGTGACTCGTGATATGCTCAATCTTTTGATCAGACTCTCTCTCATAAGTTTTAGTCAGAAAACGGTCTGTTGAGACAATTCTTTGTAGTTTGAGTGTTCAGAAAGAGGATGGGAGAGCACAGTGTGTCTGTAAAACTGTAGCAGGGCAGTGGGAGGGGCTACGTACTGTCTCTGCTGGACAGGTCAGTGTTGGAGGAGCTACATACTGTCTCTGCTAAATGGGTCAGTGTGGGAGGAGCTACGTACTGTCTCTGCTGGAGGAGGCAGAGCAGCGCTGACACAGGCGTGTGACACAGTGAGAGGAGAGACAGATATAATATATTGTAAAATATAAACCAGTCTGAGAAAACTCTGTTCTTGTTTTCACTGAATAAACATTCTGAGCTGTGAATCATTGAACCAAATGAACTAAACACTTCCCATAAAAGTGTACAGTAGTTCTACTGTAGTGGATGTAATGTTTCATGAACATCATAGTGTTATTATATTATTGTCATTAGCAGAATAAACTACATGAGATATTTTTTGTGTGTGTCTTAAAACAAATTGAAATTGACTTGATATCATGGCAATATCTCATCTCATGGAGATATGTATTAAATCATGGGTAAACTGTATCGTCACATCTCTAGTATAAATAAATAAAATTACTCAAACATGTGTGAATAAAACAATGTACAACTCCAGGTCTGTTTTTTTTGAGGAGCTAACAGCATTCTAACATGACTTAAAGCTCACAAGAGTCCATTTGACATAATATAGGACCTTTAGGAGAGTTGTTGTTAAAAGCTCTAAAAACTTGATTTTGTAGGTTAACTGTTTGTCCTCCTCATTTAACCGCTCAAAGTATTTAAAGCAATTTGAAAAAAAAAAAAAGCACCAGAATCACACAGAGCGGCTTCATATGAACATTTTAATACTAAATTGCCGAGCCTGACAGCAGCAGTTTGCAGAGAGAGGGAGTGTTTTTCACTAGAAAGTGAATTGGAGTTGACGGAGCCGGATGTGCTCCTGTGCTCACTTCCTGTTTGGAACGTGGTGGCTAGCAGGTTAGCTCTGTCTGTTTACAGGCAATGGTCCACTCCTAATAAATGACATTATGGTTAGAACTGCACATCAGAGTATATATGTGTCTGTTTGTGCTTCAGTAATCATTCATGTTTTTATGATTTAATATTTACTAGATATTACAGTCTCGTGTGCTGATTAAGAAAAACACAACATGTACACAACAAGCAGCTCGGTCAGTGGAATTAACATCGCACTGAGACTAATGATTTACCTTTTCATTAGGCTAATAAAAATCATCTTCTCCATGACAACAGTGACTAGCCGCTCCTGAGAAGCGTGCTGCGGCCCGTATTGTTTACAGGCAGCGGGTCAAAAAGACTGACTCACTCTGACTCCAGCCGGACATTTTCCACAGGCTCAGGATGCCAGGGCAGGTTTAGAGCCGCACAATACTCCGCTTACAAATGACAACGCTGGTGGAAATTTATACTAAACAAACACAGTGACTGAAGACTTCGAAGTACAGATTATTTACTACAGATGTAACAATAACCAAAATATCGTCTCACAATAATATCAGAGGCCATCACCAAATATCGAATCACAAGTCTCTCTGCTTAAATGAATAGTTATGGTGATTTTTATTGTCCTTCTTTGTGATTTTATAATGTCTTTCTTATTCTGTAAAGCACTTTGTATGACTTTGTGTATGAATTGTGCTGTACATATAAACTTGCCTTGCCATGGTGCAACAAAAGCAAAAACAGATGGAACTACATAGACCATGATCCTTTGATGCTGTCAGTGCAAACAGCTTGAAGAAAGAACTGTTATTAAGCACTTTTAAATCTTAATTCTACATATACA